TTCTGGAAGCCTTCCGAGTCTCCGATTCCGGCTGGCGTGGGGATTCAGTTCGGCAGTTGTCATATGCACAGCTTCCGCGAGACTTGACAAAAGCCTGACAATTACAATCTTATGGTTCATATAGCTATGAATATAACTATAGTTAAGTGTATACTTACAGTTTTAAATATGACCCTAACTGCTGTTGTTTTGACCGATGTATACCAACATCTGATGGGAGTGCATGGCGGGGACACGCCCCCCCCCCCCCCCCCCCCAAGAAAACCAAATGCATACTGCAAAGTTAGTACATAGCTATAACTGTAGTTCAGAGTAGGATTACAGATAATGAATCTCTAACTGGCGTTATTTTGACTGATGTCTGCCAACATTTGATGGGACTCGACATCACAACTCTGTGGCTTGTGCATATTGGGGACAAGGGGCCAAGTGCCCTCACAAATGCAAACACGACTGGCAAAGCTACCGACACATGCGTCTACACTTACCCATATATGTACGTATGTATGCACGCACGTATGTATGTATGGTCCTTTTGGGGGTCCATATATAAGGCGGCCCCTCTTGTTTAGGGTGCGCAAACAGGGACCCTAATTTAGAGAACTGACCATGGTTGCCAGGTGGCATCCGCTCTGTGCGCGCACGGCAGAGAACGAAGGCTCCACCGTGGAAGTAGAGCCTCACGAGCGAGGCGGTTTCAGGGTTTAGGGTTTAGGAGGTTTCCCTCAACCATAAAAAGTAAACCCTTAACTCCAAACCTAGGGTTCGAGAGACTCTTAAGTTTCCCTCAACCTTAAACCGTAAACCCTTAACTCCAAACCTAGGGTTTAAGAGACTTTTATGGCACAGAAGAGGAGCCGAGGCTTGAGGAGCTGTCGCCAGGATTCAGACCAAGGGAAAAGAGATTTGCAGCAAGGAGCTGTAGGGTTTGGGGTTTGGGGTTTAGGGTTTAGGGTTTAGGGTTTAGGGTTTTGGGTTCAGGGCTTAGGGGTCTGCAACCCTGAGATTCGTGTAAGCCCTCCTTGGATCATGAGCAGCTGCAACTGGGATACCCATTCATTCGATCGGTCCTGACCCCTGAATGAACGCCAATCCTACACCCTAAACCCTCAACCCCTCAACCCAAAACCCTCAACCCTAGTTCTAAACCCTCAACCCTCACCCCAAAACCCTCAACCCTCAAACCCCAGACCCTCACCCCTGTAAAGCCGAGCGGCAAGGTCTTTGCCGTCTGCAGCTTGGACGGCTCTGTCCACTCTCCACGCACCTCCCGTCCCCGGTTGAGGGCTTAGGGTTTAGGGTTTAGGGTTCAGGATTTGGGGCTTAGGGTTTAGGCTTTAGGGTTTATAAAGCTGTCTGGGACTATTCAGCTTCGCCACCCTGTTGTGTAAAGATTTTTTCGGCTAAGCGGACCGAGCGCCATCAACCTACAGCAGGAATAAAAAGGGCACCCTTAGTTGTTTCAATGGCGTAAGGGTACAGATTCCTAGCTTATGGTTTTTGGCTTTCAGGCCAGAATGCGGGGATAGGGCTGACAGGGCTTAGGGTTTAGGGCTTTATGGCTGAAGGTGTAGGGTTTACCCAAAGGCTCCTATGTGGTACAGTACCTTTTTGGGGTAGTAGATAAGAATCCGCTATAACAAACCCAAAAAGGAACTACATAGTGTTTAGGCTTGTTGAGTCAAGTCCAAGAGACATTACCCTCGCAAACATCCCGGACCATGAGGTCCGGCGGTAGGATGGGCATTGGCATGGGCGCATCCGTCAGCACCTCGACAAGACATATATTACATTTGTTTTTTTAAGTACGTCTGTCCCTAAGCCCTAAACCCTGAACCCTAAACCCTAAACCCTAAACCCTAAGCCCCTGTACCTGTTTGTTTTTTGGCAAACACCAAGATGTAAACCTCAACGCTCAACCGTCGTCATGCTCCGCGGCGGTCTCCGAACACTTCAGGTGTGCTTAAGGAAGTTCTACCACATCTGGAGGTATCAAGCACCCAAGCCCAAGACCCTATACCCAGAACAAAACTCCAATATCTCCAGCACTGCCACCCTGGACCCACTCCACCGCGAGTTTGGGGTTTGGGGTTTACTACTATTTGCTTAAGAACCCCCCCAAATATATTTTAAAAAAGTTAAAAAACAAGACTCCCTACGTTGCCCTTGTAAGGAAGAATGTTCTTATTTTGTTGGGGGTACTTAAGCACTTCGTAGTATTTCAAGTTTTGTTGGGGGTACTTAAGCACTTCGTACTATTTCAAGTGCGGGGAAAGGCCGAAACTCCCAAAACCCATGTGGGAAGCCAGGGGGTACGCTTCTTGGGGTTGCTCTAGCAAGGACTATCACATTTTGGGGGGTATGCTAGCAGCCAGAAACCCTAAACCCTGAACCCTCAACCCTAAACCCCAAACCCCCAAAACCCCCAAATCCGCAACCCTAGCATCCCTACATATTCAATGATTCATTGATTGGGCCCTGAAAGCCCCCAAACCCCACTATCTTGATAACCCCAAACGCCTGCTGTTTAGAGGCTATTGCTACAAGAAACAACAAACCTTAAACAGATTCCCAGAAGCAAAGGGTAGGTTTTGGAAACCCTAAATGCTAAACCCTAAACCCTAAACCCCAAACCCTAACCCTAAACCCTAAACCCTAAACCCTAGACCCATACACCCTATAGGCCCTAGGCCCCCAAACCTATTCCCGCCTGCACAGCGTAGAGGTTGCTGTATGGCACATGGGAGGCTAAGCTTCGCATGACCTGCGTTTCAGGGTTCAGGGTTTGGGGTTAGGGTTTAGGGTTTAGGGTTTAGGGTTTGGGGTTTAGGGTTTAGGGTTTAGGGTTTAGGGTTTAGGGTTTAGGGTTTGCTGAACCCGGGCTCAAGGAGCACTTTTAGAAGAAGGTTAGGGGGTTTGTTTAGGGCTTATGGGCTTTAGGGTTTAGGGCTGAGGGTTTAGTGTCTAGAAGGTGGGTTTAAGGCCAGGGTTGATGGGTTTTGGGATTTCAGGGTTGTTGGGGGAAAAGGTTTAGGGCGGGTTTGGGACTTCTGTTCAAGAAGCAGATCCTCGCAAACCCGACTAAGGGAAAACATCGCGCTGGGCCGTGCAGGACTTACTTTAGCTTCCTATTCAAAAAAATAAAAACAACAAATAAGCAACATATAAGAAATAAATCGATAAATGAAAACAAGCAGTGCTGACTACAGCCAGACACTACTCTAACCCCAGCTCTCACAAGGCCCAAACCCTACTCCTAGTCCTAGACTCAGGCAACCACTTGCACTACGTTCCCACAAAGGGGTGCGGACGCGGCCGTGCGTTGTGCTATCTGTTTCGGGGCTATCACATCCGAAATTTCGGCTGGGCGATCTACAGCTAAGCCTAAAAATTTTCCTGAGTCTCGATCGTGGCTGCCAAGCTCCTTGTCCGCAGCCTGAGAAAACACGCAATCCACTTGCTAAACCCTAAACCCTAAACCCTAAACCCTAAACCCTGAATTCTAGCCATCCCCTTAGCTTCCCAAATGCCTGAAGGCCGAGGTAATAGCTGCAGTTCCACTCGTCGAAGGGATGCTTGGAGCAGCCGCAGCAGATACCTGAGCTCATATTGAAGTAGGCTCTAGGGTTTAGGGTTTAGGGTTTGGGGTTTAGGGTTTAGGGTTTATATTTCTTGTACCCCCAAAAGGACACCAGGTATATACACTCACCAATTTTTAAAAGGGAACCTTATGTACACTCACCAAAAACAGTAATATAAACCCTACTTCATATAGGGGCCTTAAGAATTAGAATAGGGCTTGACGGGGGGTTATTGTAATACAACTACAAAGGGACCATAGGGGAATCCGAATGGTGATTATTCCGACCCCCTATGTTCCTCTGTAGGTATGGTCACCTAGGTAGGTCACTTCTCAAAAATATGGTCCCTTTCGGGGTCCTGATTCTATGGCGGCCCCTAGTGTTTAGGGCAGGGTTCCCTAAAAGGGACCATGATTTAGAGAACTGACCATGTGCCCTGCACCTAGGACGATGTTCCATACCCTGAAGATGTAGGCTTCACACAAAAATCGAAATTAGAATTCCATTTGATTCAGAATAGAATGTTCACCCCTACTCTCTGTTCGCAAGTAAGGGGTACTTCAGTCAGTGTCATATATGTCAACGACCGGACATCACCTTGAATAGTATTAGCAACAGCTGACAGTGAGACTAAGCAGAAGAAGACGAAGAGGGAGGAATACAAACAGATACACAGGAGTTTCGAACACGGGTCTCGAACCCGACTCACAAGGCATCCATCACTACACCCAAGGAGTAACCTAGGAATAACGGGGTGCCCTTTTTGATTAAAAGGGGCTTATGTGGGAACCCAAAAACCCCCAAAAAAAACAAGGGCCTACTCTGGGTCCGAGCAAGCTTGGGCTGCAGTTGAACCAATCCTAACCAGAAGTAATTCCATGTTTGGGAGTACCGAATCGCTCATGGTTAAGAACCATTGAAGCCCCAAGCCCTAAACCCTAAACCCTAGGCCCTAACTCCTGAACCCTAAACCCTGAACCCTACACCCTAAACCCTAAGCCCTAAACTCTAAGCCCTAGCAATCATGTGGTGTCCAGGCTCAACATTCCGAAGTATGTCCAAAGGCTCCAGCTACCTTTACACGGGATTTTGTAAGTAAACAAATAAATGCCTCATAATATGTATATACCGATACCGCAGTCCCCTTTTTGGGGCTTAGGGTTTTTCAGTTCAGGGTTCCCCTGTTTAGGGTTTAGGGCTAAGTATCTGCTCTGTGGGGATATGGGCCTTTTGGGAAGAAGTGCTCGGAAGGCAAACCGTACCAGACACCCCCAGGCTCCCACTTTGGAGAACCCACCGGTAACCTAAGGGTTCAGGGTTTAGGGTTTAATTAGGGTTTGGGGTCTAAGGGTTCAGGGTTTAGGGTTTAGGGTTTGGGGTTTAGGGTTTAGGGCTTGGGGTTTAGGGTTTAGGGTTCAGGGTTTGGGCTTAGGGTTTAGGGTAACCCGCCTTTGCAGCAGCCGACGCCAAGATGGACGGGCAAGCAACACCAACCTGCGGGGTCGGACTTTAAGCCCAAAACCCCAAACCCCAAGCCCCCAAACCCACAAGACCCCCAAACCCCCAAAACCCCCAAACACCCAAACCCTAAAACCTAAACCCTAAACCCTTAGGGGTTTAGGGTTTAGGGCTTTTGGGGCATGTTGAGGGCTTCTAGGGCTCTTGGCGACATCGTCATGAGCGTAGGGTTTAGGGTTTAGGGTGAGGGTTTAGGGCTTTACTGGCTGAAGCCCCACAAAAATTGTCAGGATGTTGAAGACCTTAAAAATGGAGACTGCCGCTCCAGCACCTACCCTAGACCCTAGACCCTAGACCCTATAGACCCTAAACCCTCAACCCTAAACCTGCAAATCCTGGTAGGCCGCCACCCTCAACCGACAAGTCGACACCTAGACCCTGCACACAGGCTCCTTGGGCAGTTACAAGTACAGTGGCTTATCTTACTTCTCCAATAACCAATGGGAAAAATGTTAAACTTCATGTTCTCTACTAAATAAGGTTAAACCCAACAAGTTTAAAGTTCAACGATTGGCTTAAATAAGCTATAGGTACCCCAAGTAGTGTAGTTGGAGCGCGGGGCGTTCCTGCCCGTGTGCTCCGGCACTTTTTGGCTGGAAACCTATGTTTTTTTTCAGATTTTTCTCCTTTTCCCAGGCCTCCGTCACCTGAAGTTGTTCAGGCCCTTTTCAACACGCGTTTTTTTTATAATGATTTTTGCTTTTGCACACTTTTCCGCTCTTGGCTGTGTGTTTCTTCGAGTTGTTGCTTGTTTTTCTCTGTTGTTTGCACATTTGTTTCTCATATTCTTATTTTTATTTGGATCTCTGTCGTTTTTTTTCTCTCCTTTTCCACACTCGTTTTTTTTCGTGTGTTGGCTTTCGGCCACTTGTTTTGGTCTTGAATGGGCGTGTCTTTGGGTTTTTGCCACTCTTCCTTGCTCTTCTACCTTTTGTTCTGTCTTCATGACCTCATTTCTGTGGCAACGTTCCTGTCGTGAACAAGGCCCAAACCCCGCACATGAAACCCTTGACCCCCCTAACCCTAAACCCTAAACCCTAAACACTCAACCCTAAACCTATCAACCCTATCAACCCTATCAACCCTATCAACCCTATCAACCCATAAACCCTAAACCCTAAACCCTAAACCCTTACTTTCATTCGAGCGTTCCTCCCGATCAGCATTCCGTGGAGCCCACGATGATTCCGTCCGTGTTACCACGGCTTGCGAATGGCCACTAGCATCCATGCTCGCACGATGATTCCGTCCATGTTACCGCTCTTTTGTTCTGCAGACAAACCTGAACTGAACTGCTTCTGCCAAGAAACAAGCGACGCTTTCAGGCTTGGGGCTGGCAACTTCGAACTTTGGGGCCATTTCACATGGATGGCTGTCAAGTTGTGGGTCCTAAACTACTTTATCTTGGCAGTCTCCACTTTTTGGACACCTTTTTTGTGGCGTTTCTCTGAAATACCGCACCTGCCAGTGTTTTCGGCCTGTTGCCTCAGACAAATGCTTGTCCCGTACCACGGGCAAGAATGCCCCGCGAACCTAGTTGTTATATAAGGTTTTACGGCTACCAGCACTTCTGACTCCAGATACGCTACTTACCGCATCTACCACTGAGCCTCCAAGTACGTCCTAACCCTAGAACCCCAACCCTGAACACCAA